CAGGGGCGGACTGACCATTAGGAAACTCGGGCACTGCCCGAGGGCCCGGGGTCAGTAGGGGGCCCCATGAGATGCCCCTGGTACCTTTTTCATAGGCTTTTTTGAGTTTGGGAAAGGACACAGGGGCCCCATGATCCCCTATTGCCCGGGGGCCCCATGAGTTGTCAGTCCGCCCCTGGTTTCACTGCATTGCAAATCACATCCCCTACTTATGTAAACCTGCAACAATCAAACATTAACAGCTACTAATTCTATTAGCAGAACACATGGCTGGCCACAGATAATAGAAGAGCACTCAGCTGGTGCATGTAAGCTCAGCTTGGCCCAATAACCTCTCTGGAAGGGAAGCTCAGCTTCACCCAGTAACCTCTAAGGGAGGAAGAGGACAGGAGCTGGACACAGGGGCCCCATGAACCCCTATTGCCAGGGGGCCCCATGAGTTGTCAGTCCGCCACTGATTCTACCCTACCCAACAATGGAAGGAACACCAGACCAAATGATAAAAGAGTTCATTTTATTTCAATATACTTACACACTATAACACATCTAATCAAGCTGCATTGTTTTGCACCTCGCTGCTCCTTTGTGATCTAAATGGGGCACCAATTGTCAACAAGTCTTCAGTCTGTTGTAAACTTTAAAGGGACATTTCTCCTCAATGTGTGTAAAAAAAAAAGATATAAATGATGGCTTGTTTCAAAGTGCTTTTTCGGAATATGTAAATACTTTACTGTGCAAAGTCAAGACACAGGTTCACTTTGAAGGTCTTTGTATTAGGGTTATAGAGTAATTGTGCAGAGTAGCACTAACAATCACATAAAATATCCCGGCGTTTATTAATGCTACACTCTTATTTACTGCCTCTTTCCTCACTTGCTTGCTGTGATAGAGGTTGGACTTAGAATTCACAAAAAGGCCCTGAGATTTGGAAACCAAAATGCTGTAAAATACTGGTGAGCTACTGAGGACAGTATTGTTACCAGAAAATTAAAGTAGTTTTTCCCAACCTTTTTTCAGTCAAGGCACCCTTTAAAATTGTACACAATCTTGAGGCACCCCATTCTAAAAAACGAAACTAATAGTTTTATATAATGCAGCAGCATCCACACAAGTAGGACACCCAATGTTAGAGGTGACTTGTTCTTCCAAAGCAAATACAAATCTCTGCACACTGGTGCTGACTTGCTAATGTGATCCATGTGACCCCAGTGCTGATGGCGAGCAGCGGGGGGGATGGGGGGGGGGACATGGACGCTGTGTTGGCACTTGATATCCTTTTTATCAACCAATGATGTCATTGGTTGTTAGAACACTAGTGGCTGCTGGAAGGCTGTAATAGTGTGCAATGAAAACGTGGGTTTGTGTAACTAAAAGGCAGGCTTCATCCACTTACTGGCTTTCATCCAATTTTTAGGCATTCTATCAAGGCACCCGTGAAGAGACCTGAGAGTTCCTGGGCACCCTGGTTGAAAAAGGCTGAATTAGAGAATATGTTAACCCAAAATTTCATATTCCTGATATGTGCCTGTTGTATCATGTACTTATATTAAAAAGAAACCTGTTCTCTTTGTATTTCTTTTCATATTCTGTGAAATACCTTGTGTTCCTGCCAGGTCCCTGCTTTCCTGTTTCAATCTGACCACGCTAGGCATCCATTATCTGATTATGCTAAGGGAACAGCCTGCCTGTCCTCTAATGATCAGACGCCCACCCCGTTGCACAGCCATTCACTTGGAAGATCAGTGTACTGCTGTTTCTCCACCTCTATAAACCCCTTTATGCAGCTAAGAACAAAGTTTATGTGATCACTTATTCGAGAAATAAGCTATTTATAATGTTTTGCCTGGCATGTCTTGACCGCTGACCCAGGTTTCCTATTTCAGGGTGACTTCTTTCCCTTGCAGCATTCTATGGAACCACCCTTGTATGCAGGGACTAGAGTTGTGTCTTCCTACACTGTGTGCAATAACAGGAACACACAGCCCTGTAGCTTGAGATGGAAAGGCACACTCCTGTTTCTCCTCTCTCTCCCTCCTCTAAGCTAAAAGACTGGCTGAAGAATGCATTGTTGACTGTTGAAGCTAAATTCCAGGAATGTAACTCCATTGTAAACAGTGAAGGCACACTAGAAGTTAAAGTGGAGCTCCAGTCAACTCTGAAAAAAATGAAAGTCAACAGCTGCAAAAAAGCAGCTGACATTTAAAAACAGCCACTCACCTTTCCTATGATCCAGTGGTGTGTTTCCACCAGCCGCCCTCTATCCCCGGCATCTGTGACAGCTTGCGGCTTCACAGCTGGGTGTTCACTGCGTATGCACGAGTAGCTCTGCACATTACAAATGGTCCCATTGTCTTCTGGAACCTGTCATGTGCCCAGAAGACTGCGGGGAGGGAATTGGGGGGACAATTTTCACTTCCGATGCCTTAGGCGGTTGGAGAGGAAGTGGGAGCGGGCAACCTGTCTAAGTCGGGTACCCGCCTCCCCCACTCCCCCGCATCCCAAAGGTGCCAATTCCCCACGGAGAGAGGTCCTCAAAGTGCAACTTCCCTTTCTGGGGTGGCATAGCTGCTCTGTGTGCCTCTCTATCCTCTCTCACAGCGCCAAGTGGTTCCGGCAGAGTCAAAAACAGATATATCAGATATATAATAGAGATAAGATGGACTTAACTCATAGTGTGCCTGCACTTTTTACAAAGTGGCTGAATTCCTGGAATTCAGCTTTAACTATTTACTGTGAAGACCAGAAGTTTATTGAAGCAGAATTGAGAGAGCAGGAGCCAGCAGTATTGAAAGTTGTAAATTGCAAGTGCTGGGGGAATAATTTTACCAAATAGTTCACTAGAAGATGTTTATTTTATTGTGTTCATTGTGTTAAGCTAAGAAACACTGGGGGTTTAATACTACTTTAGGTACATATTATAAGGAAAGTTGTGAAGAATTCCAGGGAACAAGTCATCCTTAAAGGAGAAGTACAGCCAAAGCACTTTTTGTTGTACTTCTGTGGATCACAGGAGTGCAGTTTGTTCTGCACTCCTGTGACCCGTCTTCAGCCATCTTCAGGCTGAAGGCTGCTGTCGACTGACATCACTTAAACAGTCCAATCTGGGGAAAGATCCCAACTTCAAAGTTGGGATCAGGGGCGGACTGACAACTCATCGGGCCCCCGGACAATAGGGGATCATGGGGCACCTGTGTCCTTGCCCAAACGCAAAAAAGCCTATGAAAAAGGTACCAGGGGCATCTCATGGGGCCCCCTACTGACCCTGGGCCCTCGGGCAGTGCCCAAGTTTCCAAATGGTCAGTCTGCCCCTGGTTGGGATCCACCCAGTGTCTGGAGCGGCACCCGGGTCAGCCTCTCTGTGAGCTGCTAAGAGCCTGAGCCAGCAGCTCCCTCCCCCTCCACCGCCCAGTGCTCCAGTGAGCGTGGAGGGTGGCAGAGCAGACAGCGTTGTCTGACAGTCAACGCTCTCTGATCAGAACGGCTCTGAGAACTCAGTGATCAGCGGTCACACAGCCGACGGGGGACAGATACATCATTGGACCGATGCTGCATCCATCTAGGTAAGTATAAATGGGGGAAAAAAGAAAGTCCACACTTCTCTTTTAAAAAGAGTGCCTGTGGATTTAGTTTCCAAAATTATTTGTATCTGAATTGTAGCCATTAAAATTCCATACAATGCAACTGGATTAGTGTTTATTTTCTCTGAAAACGTCACAGCCTCCCTCTTCCCAATATCCCAGGAAATAAATAAATTATAAATAAATGTAAAAATGAATGATTAAATAAATAAACATACAAAATTTCATGATAGTAAATGGCCATAGCACCTTTACTGGTTTAATATATTGAAGAAGCAAATAACTTTTAGCACCAGTGGGGAAGGCCAGTGACGGAGTCCTGATTCTCCACGCTCCATGGAAGATTCATGAAAGGCATGTGGAACACTTCTATTCCCGACAGAAGTCATAAGACAGGTCGATCAATTTCATAAACGCCAGTAACCCAATATAAAACTGAATATTTTTTTTCAATAAAAAAAAGGAAGTGGAAGCAGCAAGACCATGTACATGGGCCTAAATAGATTGTAGCCCCTTTGCCATTCCTTCAGTTTCTGGTCAAGAATTGGTTCCTACTAAAATGCTTGGCTGCAGAGTGATAATACGAACACTGGATTGAGATAAAGTTTCAGAAAAACATTCTTCGCTCACTCACTAACATGCTATACAAACTCTATATGGGTTCATGCATTTGGCCCATTAGAGCCGTACACTACCCTGACCAGGATATTTCTGATGTTGGTAATGTTAGGTGTTTACGATCAGCGACAGACAGGAAGCATGTACATATCAATGACAGGCTGACACTCTCTGCATGTAATCGCATGTGAATTGATAATACCTGCAGTTAGGGACAGATTTGCACCCCTGGACGCAGACAATTCACAACTTTAAACAACTTGGACAGATCGTTTTAAACAGCTTCTACTGATGTGACAGGGTTATCGGTGATCTGAGTGTGAGGTACAGTATGACAAAGGTGCAGCCTGCAGTATCTATATCAAAGAGAAGAGCATAAAATGCATGTGGCTCAGGGTTTAATGTGTTAAACAAAAATGGATCGCATTATACAGATTATTACTTTCTTTATAGTGGCAGCACAGGCCACAAGGAAAAGCGCATCAATTTGTATTAGAGAATAACCGTTACTAACTTATAGGATACTAACCAGAGAAAGTGAATGTCAGAACAAACACGGAACTAAACAAAGATAGCATAAACATAGTGTGATTAACCTGTATCAAAGAGGAGAGCACAAAACACATGTTTCTCACTTGCTCATTCTGAGTTTATTGTGAGCTTCTTGGTACTAGTCTCCTGATGTCAGACTACAAATCATTAGAGCTCCCTTGACCCGCAGCCTAGTAATAGCATTACTGGGAGGTTTATTCATTTACTTCCTACACTTGCATAATTGAAAATATGTATATTTTGCTGTTCTAGAGTGAAGAAGGAGCAAAGTGGTCTGCATTTTACAAGAATGCCAGTGACTTTTCCGAAAGATACCCAAAAGACCAAATCACAGACGATATGGTGAAATTACAACTCATCTATCTTGGACAAAAGGGAGCGTCTGCTCTACCAGAGGAAAATTACACTAGAGTAAGGATGAGAAACAGACTGTGAATTTCTCTCACTAAACAGTATACTGAGCTAAAAATTACAAATGTTAACTAACTTAAAGTGTGTCTCCAGGACTTGTATTTCATTTTGGATAGAGTGGTGATGGGTTAGAACCTTGGTCCATTTTTAATTTATAATGTATATATCTGTGCCTCTCCTGGGGAGATTCACCCTTTCTATTTGTCTACTGGGACTGAGGGCCTATTCACATTTGTGAGTTGTGGAGCCCCCAATACACAACATTATACCTGATTTATGTGTAGTGTATTGCGGTGCCATTCATTGTGAATGGCACTCCAATGCCTTGTGCACTGGAAGGCAATGCACGCTACATTGCTAAAATCAGGTCATGTACGTTCTTTGATTCGCTGTGGGTCATTGGCAGCCCATTCATAACAAATGGCTGCCTTAACACAATGCACGTTAATATGCAAAGCAGCAAATTGCCAAAGTGTAATATAGCCCTGAAAGTGATGGGAAACCCAACATTTCCAGTCACTCAGTTGTGCCCCTGGGACAGGAAGTGAGGGGAAATCTCCCTAAAGGGACACCGACTAAAAAAAAAGGAAAACAAACATGGGTTTTTAACCTTTTCCCATAACAACAAGTTTAATTTTTGGTATATTTTAAATGTATTTTATCAGACTGATGTGGCCATATAATATCTGCAATACTGTTTTACAGCTGAATCAAATCCTTAATGAAATGAGCACAATCTACAGCACGGAAACTGTATGCAGTCCAAATGGAACGATATGCCTGCCTTTTGAACCAGGTATTGGGTGTAAAAATTCTGATTTCTTCCATTGACCCTAAAGATGTAAGAGAAAAGTATGGTGAAGTTTCACATGCACACATTTTTTGTTCTTATTTCAATGTTTTTCTTACAGTAATTTTTATGTGACTTCCATATTTTCACATACTTTACCATATTTCTGTTATTCTATTAAATATAGAGATTTGTACATTAGCCATTAGAGGGGGCTTTCACATATTTATTCAGTCTCTTTCTCAGCAACCTCTGAAATATACTCAGCTCCACATGCAGTAGAGTGTATTATTTTCAGTAAGTCCGTGACTCACTGATTTGCTTTGTGAGAAGCAGCACTTCATATGTGTAACCTGTATATGTAATATGCAAATATGGCTCCCCCCCCTGTAAAACTGTTGCCAAATTGATAAGAGTATTTACATTAAAACAGAACTCAACTCAACTCAACATTCTACATTACATATTTATAGTCCTCAGTGGTAACAGCATCAGGGCTTTTATCTTTGAAAATAGTTGCAGGAACTCAACCACAACCTCCCAAATTGCACCCCTCCCCCCCTTACCCACACACACACACACACACATCCTCCAGACCACATCAAATGGCAGATGTGGTCAAATTAAACTAACAGTGGGAGGGTTTTAAAGGGGATATTAAATAACAGGCGTGCACTACGTACAGAGTGAAAAGTTATGGGGTTGCACAGAGAGTGCAGAATTCAGGGGTGCACTGCGTACATAGTGCAGAGTTCAGGGGTGCACTGCATACAAAGTGCAGAGTTGAGGGGTGCGCTAAATACAGAGTGCAGAATTCAGGGATGTGCTACACACAGAGAGCAGATTTTAGGGGTGCGTTACACAGAGAGAGCAGCGTTCACGGGTGCGCTACACACAGAGAGCAGAGTTCAGGGGTGCGTTACACACAGAGAGCAGATTTCAGGGGTGCGTTACACAGAGAAAGCAGAGTTCACGGGTGCGGAACACACAGAGAGCAGAGTTCAGGGGTGTGCTACACACAGAGTGCAGAGTTCAGGGGTGTGCTACACACAGAGAGCAGATTTCAGGGGTGCGCTACACACAGAGAGCAGAGTTCAGGGGTGTACTACACACAGAGAGCAGAGTTCAGGGTGTGCTACACACAGAGAGCAGATTTCAGGGGTGCTGCACACACAGAGAGCAGAGTTCAGGGGTGTGCTACACACAGAGTGCAGAGTTCAGGGGTGTGCTACACACAGAGAGCAGATTTCAGGGGTGCGCTACACACAGAGAGCAGAGTTCAGGGGTGTGCTGCACACAGAGTGCAGAGTTCAGGGGTGTGCTACACACAGAGAGCAGAGTTCAGGGTGTGCTACACACAGAGAGCAGAGTTCAGGGGTGTGCTACACACAGAGAGCAGAGTTCAGGGGTGTGCTACACACAGAGAGCAGAGTTCATGGGTGTGCTTCACACAGAGAGCAGAGTTCAGGGGTGTGCTTCACACAGAGAGCAGAGTTCAGGGGTGTGCTACACACAGAGAGCAGATTTTATGGGTGTGCTACACACAGAGAGCAGAGTTCAGGGTGTGCTTCACACACAGTGCAGAGTTCAGGGTGTGCTACACACAGAGAGCAGATTTTAGGGGTGTGCTACACACAGAGAGCAGAGTTCAGGGGTGTGCTACACACAGTGCAGAGTTCAGGAGTGTGCTACACACAGAGAGCAGATTTCAGGGGTGTGCTACACACAGAGAGAGCAGAGTTCAGGGGTGTGCTACACACAGAGAGCAGAGTTTACGGGTGCGCTACACACAGAGAGCAGAGTTTACGGGTGTGCTACACACAGAGAGCAGAGTTCAGGGGTGTGCTGCACACAGAGTGCAGAGTTCAGGGGTGTGCTACACACAGAGAGCAGATTTCAGGGGTGCGCTACACACAGAGAGCAGAGTTCAGGGGTGTGCTACACACAGAGAGCAGAGTTCACGGGTGCGCTACACACAGAGAGCAGAGTTCAGGGGTGTGCTGCACACAGAGTGCAGAGTTCAGGGGTGTGCTACACACAGAGAGCAGAGTTCAGGGGTGCGCTTCACACAGAGAGCAGAGTTCAGGGGTGTGCTACACACAGAGAGCAGATTTTAGGGGTGTGCTACACACAGAGAGCAGAGTTCAGGGGTGTGCTACACACAGTGCAGAGTTCAGGAGTGTGCTACACACAGAGAGCAGATTTCAGGGGTGTGCTACACACAGAGAGCAGAGTTCAGGGGTGTGCTACACACAGAGAGCAGAGTTCATGGGTGCGCTTCACACAGAGAGCAGAGTTCAGGGGTGTGCTACACACAGAGAGCAGATTTTAGGGGTGTGCTACACACAGAGAGCAGAGTTCAGGGGTGTGCTACACACAGTGCAGAATTCAGGAGTGTGCTACACACAGAGAGCAGATTTCAGGGGTGTGCTACACACAGAGAGCAGAGTTCAGGGGTGTGCTACACACAAAGAGCAGAGTTCAGGGGTGCTACACACAGACAGCAGAGTTCACGGGTGCGCTACACACAGAGTGCAGAGTTCAGGGGTGTGCTACACACAGAGAGCAGAGTTTACGGGTGCGCTACACACAGAGAGCAGAATTCAGGGGTGTGCTACACACAAAGAGCAGAGTTCAGGGGTGTGCTACACACAGAGAGCAGAGTTTACAGGTGCGCTACACACAGAGTGCAGAGTTCAGGGGTGTGCTACACACAGAGAGCAGAGTTCAGGGGTGTGCTACACACAAAGAGCAGAGTTTACGGGTGCGCTACACACAAAGAGCAGAGTTCAGGGGTGTGCTACACACAGGGTGCAGAGTTCAGGGGTGTGCTACACACAGGGTGCAGAGTTCAGGGGTGTGCTACACACAAAATGCAGAGTTCAGCCTTCTTCCACAGCTACTTGTCTCTGAATCCCTCATCCACATCTCACTTTCACATCTCTTCTGCTCTGACATCTACATGCAACCCTCCCTTCACTACCCCCAACTTCTCCCCCCCTCCTTAAAAGCTCCACCATCTTCCACATCTTACTTTTGCTGCTGTATTCAGTTAAAGACCACAGCTGGCTCCATACCTCCCAAAAGTTCCAGATTGGGTAGGACATTCCCTCATTTTAACCTCTGTCCCGCAATCCCGGTGTACAGGGGCTTTGTCCCTCATTACTCTATTCTTTATATGCTAACTTCCAGCCGAGCAGGACCTGCAGCAGTGTGAACAGTGTGAACATCTAGCACAGCCAGGAATTGGGGAGCAAGCCAGCGGGGTTTGCAGCCACAATGAGAGAGTGTGCAGCTGTCAACTCCAACCTGTGATGTCGGGGATGGGTGGGGCTGATATGCATTTCAGGGGCTCTGCCCCCTTTGTCAAGCAAGCAGTGCATAGACAAACAGCTGGCATGTATACATTGCTGGCCTGGGAAGACGGTGACAAGGGGCAGGACCATTTGGAAGTACTGCATGTGCACCCGCAGCAGTGTATAAAAAAACTAAATTATACGCTGCTGCGGGTGCACATGCAGTACTTCCAACTGGTTTCGCCCCTTGCCACCTTTTTCCCCGTTGGCACTGTGTAAATGCTGGCTGTCTCCCTATGGACAGGTTGTTTTTAAAAGGGGGCAGAGCCCCTGAAACACATATCAGCCCTGCCTATCCCCAACATCACAGGTTGGACTTGACAACTGTGCCCTCTCTCTCATTGCAACCGTACCACCGCCAGCTTGTTCGCCAATCTCTGCTGCGCTAGATGTTCACACTGCTGCAGGTCCTGCTCAACTGCACTCATTTGTTATCCATCTGATACCTGCATTCTTGCCTAGGCTCCTGTATACTGTTAATCAAGATTTTAGAACGTAAGTGTAAGTTTAGTTGGTGTCTTTGTGGTTTAAATGACTTCAGTACCTTGCACTCTGCATGTAACGCATCCCTGAATTCTGCACCCTGTATGAGACTCACACCTGAATCCTGCACTCTGTACATAAAGCATTCCTGAATCCTACACTCTGTATCAAACGCACTCCTGAGTCCTACACTCTGTACATAAAGCAATCCTGAATCCTACACTCTGTATGAAACGCACTCCTGAGTCCTGCACTCTGTACATAAAGCAATCCTGAATCCTGCACTCTGTATGAAACGCACTTCTGAATCCTGCACTCTGTATGAAATGCACTCCTGAATCCTGCACTCTGTATGAGACTCACACCTGAACCTTACACTCTGTACATAAAGCATTCCTGAATCCTGCACTCTGTATGAAATGCACTCCTGAATCCTGCACTCTGTATGAGACTCACACCTGAACCTTACACTCTGTACATAAAGCATTCCTGAATCCTGCACTCTGTATGAAATGCACTCCTGAATCCTGCACTCTGTATGAGACTCACACCTGAACCTTACACTCTGTACATAAAGCATTCCTGAATCCTGCACTCTGTATGAAATGCACTCCTGAATCCTGCACTCTGTATGAAATGCACTCCTGAATCCTGGACTCTGTATGAAATGCACTCCTGAGTCCGGCACTCTGTATGAGACTCACACCTGAACCTTGCACTCTTCAAATAAAGCATTCCTGAATCCTGCACTCTGTATGAAATGCACTCCTGAATCCTGCACTCTGTATGAAATGCACTCCTGAATCCTGCACTCTGTATGAGACTCACACCTGAACCTTACACTCTGTACATAAAGCATTCCTGAATCCTGCACTCTGTATGAAATGCACTCCTGAATCCTGCACTCTGTATGAAATGCACTCCTGAATCCTGGACTCTGTATGAAATGCACTCCTGAGTCCGGCACTCTGTATGAGACTCACACCTGAACCTTGCACTCTTCAAATAAAGCATTCCTGAATCCTGCACTCTGTATGAAATGCACTCCTGAATCCTGGACTCTGTATGAAATGCACTCCTGAATCCTGCACTCTGTATGAAACACACTCTTGAATCCTGCGCTCTGTATGAGACTCACACCTGAACCTTGCACTCTGTACATAAAGCATTCCTGAATCCTGCACTCTGTATGAAACGCACTCCTGAATCCTGCACTCTGTATGAGACTCACACCTGAACCTTGCACTCTGTACTTAACCACATGCCGCCCAGCCACTGTAGAAATATGGCGGCAGGGCGGCACGGGCAGGCAAAACCACGCTTTAAAACGTGTGTTTTGTAAACAGGTAGGGGGCGCGCGCAAAGGCGAGCCGCCGCCCTACCTGTCCCGCTGATCACAGCTGCAGATGTCAGTCGCCGGGTCACAGCCGGTCCTTACCGGCTATCTCCTGGCGATCGGTGGCAATCAGTGACAGAGAGCACAGCTGCAGTAGTACAGCATTATAAATGAATAAATAAATTACAATGAAAATAATACTTCCACCAAAAGAGTGCATAAAATGACAAAAAATCAGTTCATATCATAAACAAAGTCCAAATCGTCCCTTTACAAAGCTATCCACCAAAAACGTGCTCAACACCCCATCAAAGTGAAAACTCACCAAATGCTGGTGCTTAATCAGCATTGAAATCAAAACCAATAGATGTGGAAACTATTTTGACCAGATCGACTTTGATGTAAGAATGGTCACTCATCAAATGATTAATCCAGCTTAGGCTCCATCAAGGTGAGTGGTATTCAAATTCCATATGTGGGTAAATGAAAAAACACTCGCCATAGCATAATAACGTTTAGATAATTTATTGCCAACAAATACCCCCCTTGGAATAAAGCTCACATTGTATAAAAGTACAAAAAGCATTAAGTAGATAAGTTGTAGCAGCAAATAGCGGTAAAACCGCTGACAGATTAAGTGTGCGTCTCACCACCCGCTCTGTAGAAAACAAATCTTGTAGTAGCGGTCACATGGTCCAGCCACATGATCGTGGCGTACGTGGTGACGTCACTGCTGATCACACCCTTACGCGTTTCATCATAATCGACTTCCTCTTGAAGTTGATTGTAATTTTTATTTTTTATTATACACCTTATGACTTCCTTTCATTTTCTACATTATGAGTTTTAGGCAGTTATGAATACAAGTGAAGTTTGAGGTCATAGTGAGTTTGGTGCGTGGGTATAGCACACTTCTTATGTTGTTTCTCCATCAGTCATGAACTCTGTTAAGAACCACTGCTGAGAGTCATGTAATGTTCACATATACATGTATGGTATTTGTGGCACAAAATAAAGATCACTTTATTTTTACTGTACTGTTTAAGGATGTAACAAATGTATTGTTAAGTCTGTTATGCTATGATTGGGTTAGTGAGCTAGCAGGCTGCCCAGAAGTTAGGAAGATGTTAAGTTTGCCTACTCCTGAGGATTCATGATTCTGCCCCTATACTTGGTAGCCCATATACACAAGGGGAGGTAACCTTCTGGACTTTTGTGCCTTCCTTATGGGAACTAGCAGGAAGCTGTGATGAAAGATGTAAAGGACACGTGCTCTACCCTTTGGGGTACCCAGCCAGGGTGCTGACGTCCTGTTAGTGGACTCCTCTTTGCTTAAGGGGGTATGGCATGGGCAGCTTGAATCAACCTGAATTAGCCTGAGTTAGTTAGGATGAACTAGAACTGTGCCTGTAATGAACTGTGAGGAACTGTGTTGGATTAACTCTGTGCTTGCAAAAAGCTTCAGTAAACAGTTTTAAAGTTGCTAAGTGCCTGGTCTAAAGTTCTTCTAAAAAGGTGCATTAAGGTACTTGGCTTATCCAATGAACAGGGCCTGTAACAAACAGGAGAAAGAGAGCCATCGTGAAGAAGTTAATCATACAGTAGCGTTGGTAGGAAGATGTTTAACATGCTGTTGCTATGTGTAACTAGGACAGGTGGGAATGCTATAGCTGACAGTGGAAGGGTGGTACTGGGCATGGGGGATGGTGTCTCTTGGTAGCAAGGGGGGGTTGGTGGTCTTACCCCCTACCTAGCGAAGGGTGCTCCTCTCTATCTAGGACCAAGCTCATGGCACAGGGAACCTATGAACCTAGCTGGAGGTTCTGGAAGAGTAAAGAAGTGGATCCACAAAGTTAATGCTGTTCTAGATTGTAACAGGGAGTGAGGTAGCAAAGCATGCCTGAGATGGTGGAGCGGGAGACAAGCTCCATTGTGTCCCCTCAAAATACTGCATTCAGAAAGAAAAGGTTTACAGTGTCATGGGAAGAGTGCTTACAGAGAAGTATTTAAGTGTTTTACAGTGTATCTGTGCAAGGTGAACAGCTCGCATCTAAAGTCTGGGTGTAGCATTAATGCTGATTCTCACATGACAGCGGTCCATGCCTATGCCCCAGGCATTAGCAAGCACGTTCACAGAGGGTCCCGACTTAGGGCAAGTAAGCCCCGCCCACATACAGTAGGTACTAAAGCTGCGTAGTATGTTACTTGTCTTGAGTTCAGCTCTTACTCCATTCTTTGGTGTCTAGTCTTTTGTTCTGAATTGCTTGGTTCATTGTTGCAAATAGAAAAAAATGCAGAAATGTTTTAACATCTTCTCAGTTTTCATTCAAACAGCTTTAAAAATATTATTTCATCATTTCCTCATAATACAAGGTTTTTATAATAAAAAAAAATCTAAACATGGTTGTACAACTGTAGAAAATGTACCTAATATAATCTTGTATATTCAGGACTGGACAGTATCATGTTGAACAGCATTGATTACAATGAGAGGCTCTGGGCTTGGGAAGGATGGAGAGCAAAAGCTGGCAAGAAAATGAGGAAACTCTATGAGGAATATGTTGATTTGGAAAATGAAGCTGCTCGTATCAATGGTGAGAAATAAGACAACTTGTGATTCACAGTTAAATTCTAACCCAAATGTTTTTTTAATCCTTTTAGAGTGTTTGGCTTTTATTGCTATACAGTTGCAAGAAAAAGTATGTGAACCCCTTGGGATTACGTGGAGTTTTGCATGAATTGGGCATAAAATGTGCTCTGAACGTCATCTAAGTCACAACAATAGAAGAACACAGTCTGCTGAACATAATAATACACAAAGTTAGATGTTGCCATGGTTTAATTGCACATAACATGTAAACATTCACAGTGCAGGGAGGAAAAAGTATGTGAACCTTTGGACTTAATAACTGGTTGACCCTCCTTTGGCAGCAATAACCTCAACCAAACGTTTCCTGTAGTTGCAGATCAGACCTGCACAACGATCTGGGGTCATTTTGGACCACTCCTCTTCACAAAACTGTTTCAGTGTAGCAATATTCTTGGGATGTCTGGTGTGAATCGTCAAAGTCATGCCACAGCATTTCAGTCGGGTTGAGGTCAGGACTCTGACTGGGCCACTCCAGAAGGCGTATTCTGTGCTGTTGCAGCCATTGTTTTGTTGAATGACTTGTATGCTTTGGGTCATTGTCCTGTTGCAACACCCATCCTCTGCGGAGCTTCAGTTGGCGGACAGATGGTCGTACGTTTTCCTGCAAAATGTCTTGATAAACTCTGGAATTCATTTTCCCATCAATGACAACAATCCGTCCAGGCCCTGAGGCAGCAAAGCAGCCCCAAACCATGATGCTCCCTCCGCCATGTTTTACAGTGGGGATGAGGTTTTGATGTTGGTGTGCTGTGCCTTTTTTTCTCCACACATAGTGTTGTGTGTGTTCCCCAAACAACTCAATCTTGGTTTCATCTGTCCACAGTATATTTTGCCAGTAGTGCTGTGGAACATCCAGGTGCTCTTTTGCAAACTTCAAGCATGCTGCAATCTTCTTTTTGGACAGCAATGGCTTCCTCCGTGGTGTCCTCCCATGTACTCCATTCTTGTTTCATGTTTTCCTTATTGTAGATGTGTCAACAAAAATGTTAGTATGTTGCAGAGATTTCTGTAGGTCTTTAGCTGACACTCTGGGATTCTTCTTTACCTCATGCAGCATTCTGCGCTGTGCTCTTGCAGTCATTTTTACAGGACGACCGCGCCTAGGGAGAGTAGCAACAGTGCTAAACTTTCTCCATTTGTAGACAGTCTGTCTTACCGTGGACACATGAACATCAAGGCTTTTGGAGATACTTTTGTAACCCTTTCCAGCTTCATGCAAGTCAACAATTCTTGATCGTAGGTCTTCTGAGAGCTCTTTTCTGCGAGGCATGGTTCACATCAGACAGTGCTTCTTGAAACCAGTAAACCGAAAACAGGTGTGTGTTTTTTAAGGGCAGGACAGCTGTCAGCAACACATCCAATATCATCACACTGATTGGAGTCAAGGTTGGCTCACTCCTGGCTCCAATTAGCTCTGGGAGAAGTCATTAAGCTAGGGCCTCACATACTTTTTCCTCCCTGCACTGTGAATGTTTACATGTTATGTGCAATTAAACCATGGCAACATCTAATGTTTGTGTAGTATTATGTTCAGCAGACTGTGTTCTTCTATTGTTGTTGTTGACTTAGATGACGTTCAGAGCACATTTTATGCCCAATTCATGCAAAACTCCACGTAATCCCAAGGGGTTCACATACTTTTTCTTGCAACTGTATGTGTGCCTGCTTAGAGGATTCATCCTCTCTATTTGTCCTGATGACTATTGTCAGCAGGATAAAAAGCAATGGATAATCCAAAATGTTTTTCATTAAAACAAGAGGTAAAAGGGGGAGCTCTTCCAATGGGGACACTGGAGAGTGATTTCTTCTGACTATGGAGAGATTTCAAGTTATGAAGGCTATGAAGGTCTCCCCAGCAGGACACAAGCCAGAAAAAAACTGACAGGGGTTTTATCCCTTCTTTTGTTTGCCAACCCGCTGGTTGAACAGAAAAAAATGATAAGATATGGTCTGCCTTAGAATATCAGTTGATTTCTCTGCATTGGCCTAAACTCTTAAACCGGCCATAGATGAACTGAGGACCTGGCCCGATTTTGACCCATCTATGGGCAGGCTGGTTGTACTGTAGTCAGTCTATTGATCGACTTCAGTACAACCAGCCTGTTGGGGTTTTTTTGTGTTCTGACAGCTATGAAACCTCCCACTGTCAGAACACATTGGGAGGGATTCCAGTATCAAGACTGACTGTTGATGGGGGAATCAAGCATTTTTCTTTCTTTCTTTGGTTAAAGGGGAAAAAACGTATAATGTATGGCCTGCATTAAAGTGTGCTACCAGCTGTAATCACTTTGGATACAGACAGACAACCTGCATAGAGATATGGACAATAAACAACAGGGGATTGGTCAATGTGCAGATGATAAAAGAAGTGAGTTGCGTACTGTAAAAAATATTAAGAGCAAATTCAGATCATACTTTTTCATCATGTTTCAGGATATCAGGATTATGGAGATTACTGGAGGGGAAATTATGAAACCCTGGCCACAGACAAGTATAAATACAGCCGAGATGATCTGATAGCAGATGTGGAAGCAACATTTGAAGAGGTAATTGTGCAGATAATAGCCATGTTCGGTACTATTAGCTCAGGTGGTGTGGCATTCTCACCGCCTGTCAAATCCATGGTGCATGGCTATGATAGCGAGTCTTAGCGACACGTGTGTTTGAGCCCTAAGAGTTGCAATCCTTTGTTAATCATGACTCGTTTCATTGCCACTTCAAATGGCTATGTTTTATGTTCTCATACACACCTCATAAAAGCTCAGAACTGCTGACATCATTTTCAGAATTGCCTTTTATGCACATATACTACAAAAATCAATTATATGGTGAAAAGAAATAATGCAATCTGTAGATTCGAACAATCCATGAGATAAAACCTGTAGTAAATTCAATGCATGATTTCAGATACAAAAAAGAGCAAATGACACACAGCAATGAATATTCTGCTTGGAACTGACATGTACCAAGTTACTTAGAAGTTTGGAGCCATTTTTTTGCAATTAAATTGACTGTGAAATTAATGAATAATGGCCCGATAAAGTTCATGTATTTTATGACAAGGACCTATCATTTGCAGCTCAAACATTGCTTGTAAACTTCTATGCTAACTATTTTTCTCTCACTAAATTCTTAGCTGAACTAATCATACCATTTCATGTGCTTTCAGATCCTGCCACTGTACAAGGAGCTCCATGCCTATGTGAGAGGCAATCTGCAAAAACAATATGGCACCAAGTACATCAGTTCCACAGGAGGTCTACCAGCACATTTACTAGGTACATAGTTATTCTAAAGGTTATGTAAGATGTATTTTGGCAATGTAATATTCTGTTAATGAGACATTGCAACCACACTTACATAATATTGTATCCTTGTAGGTGACATGTGGGGTAGATTTTGGACAAATCTGTACCCTCTAACAGTCTCCTATCCAAACAGGGAAAGCATTGATGTGACTCCTACAATGACCTCCCAGGTAACTGTATTACAACTGTGAACACTTTATTGTATAGCATTCTTTCATTGTGCATTAAATTGTATGTATAGCCAAAATGTTTTTCAAGTTTTGAATATACACTGCTCAAAAAAATTAAAGGAACACTTTTTAATCAGAGTATAGCATCAAGTTAATTAAACTCCTGGAATAATGATATGGTCAGTTAGGTAACAGTGGGGGTTGTTAATCAGTTTCAGCTGCTTTGGTGTTAATGAAATGAGCAACAGCGAGACGACCCCCAAAAGAGGAATGGTTTTACAGGTGGAGGCCACGGACATTTTTTTTCCTATTCAGTTTTTCTGTTTTTCACTAGTTTTGCATTTGTCTAGGTTCAGTGTCACTACTGGTAGCATGAGGCAATATCTGGATCCTACAGAGGTTGCACAGGCAGTCCAACTCCTCCAGGATGGCACATAAATACGTGCCATTGCCAGATTTGCTGTGTCTCCCAACACAGTCTCAAGAGCATGGAGGAGATTCCAATAGACAGGCAGTTACTTTAGGAGAGCTGGACAGGGCTGTAAAAGGTCCTTAACCCATCAGCAGGACCGGTATCTGCTCCTTTGTGCAATGGGGAACAGGATGAGCACTGCCAGAGCCCTACAAAATGACCTCCAGCAGGCTACTGGTGTGAATGTTTCTGACCAAACAATCAGAAACAGACTTCATGAGGGTGGCCTGAGGGCTTGACATCCTCTAGTGGGCCCTGTGCTTACTGCCCGGCACCATAGAGCTCGATTGGCATTTGGCATTGAACACCAGAATTGGCAGCTCCACCAATGGCACCCTGTGCTTTTCACAGATGAGAACAGGTTCACCCTGAGCACATGTAACAGACGTGAAAGGGTCAGGAGAAGCCGAGGAGAACATTATGCTGCCTGTAACATTGTTCAGCATGACCATTTTGGTGGTGGATCAGTGATGGTCTCAGGAGGCATATCCATGGAGGGATGCACAAACATCTACAGGCTAGACAACTGCACCTGACTGCCATTAGGTATCGGGATGAAATCCTTGGACCCATTGTCAGGCCCTACGCTGATGCAGTGGGTCATGGGTTTCTCCTGGTGCATGACAATGCCTAGCCTCATGTGATGAGAGTATGAAGGCAGTTCCTGGAGGATGAAGGAATTGATGACCTTAATCCAATAGAACACCTCTTGGATATCATGTTTCAGTCCATCTGATGCCGCCAGATTGCACCCCAGACTGTCCAGGAGCTCAGTGATGCCCTGGTCCAAATCTGGGAGGAAATACCCCAGGACACCATCCGTTGTCTCATTAGGAGCATGCCCCAACATTGCCAGGCATGCATACAAGCTTGTGGGGGCCATACAAACTACTGAGTACCATTTTGAGTTGCTGCAATGAAATTTCAGCAAAATGGACTAGCCTGCTGCATAGTTTTTTCACTTTGATTTTAGGTGTCTTTGAATTCAGCCCTCTGTAGGTTGATATCTTTCATTTCCATCAAACGATGGGGCATCCTTATGTTCCTAACACCTTTAATTTTTTTTTAAATGGATGGCTTAGAGCCCTGGTTATTTTTACTTAAAAAAGGTGCACAAACGCCATATCCACAGTTATAAAACAAGGTATTTCATCACCTATTTATATATATGTATAACATGTTGTTTGACGAGAAACCAATGTGAAATTCCATCATGAAGATTAATAAATTGCACAGTGTGACCAAAAATTCATAAACAATATCACATAAAAATAAAAGTGAATGTTGAAAATGATTAAAAATCCACTTTTAGTGTCAAATTATGGTCCAAAAAGGATGTTCCACTTAAACTATGAAAGCCGTGTGCTATGACCTCTGCATGCAGTGCTCCCAATAAACCAGAAGTTCCACCTCCTTACTGGATTACCAGGATCTCTAAGCAAAAGATAAAAATCGCTTGAACACATACTGTATGTAAGATCTCTCCCAGGATCAAACACGTCCAGTCAATTCAAAATTCACAAGAATGCCCAGCTTTTCTTCAGGAATAGCGGAAAGAGAACAATAGAAGACCATAGAGTAGTATCACTAAAACCTCACCATTTATTATATATACATTAAATTCACAATTCACAGGGTACATAAAGCATCTAATGCCTTTCTGCTATACACTGGTGTGCGTAATTATGTCCCAGGTCGCTGACCCTGTTCAAGGCGCCTTTCATCTACAAGTGGATGTCCTCAGAGGACACGTATTATTTGTAACTTCTTGTATCTGGAGCTTTGAGTGCAGCATTTTCCTATTGCAGCTAGCACATAAAAATATTAGAGTTAAGATTATTTTGGTATCTTTGTGTCCTGACAGGGAGACTTTTCTTTACTTTCTGTCTTAGAAATGCAACAGAAAATGAGCAGTAATCTCCCCATTGTGAGGGAGATTCCCACCTTAAACAGTTGCCACCAAAGCATTTGTCCCTACTGGATGATTCATGTTCGCCTCTTGCTGTGGTAAAAACCGTAACATTTTCTATTTCCCCTCGCTTTCAGTCTTGGAGACAATGGTCACCAGGACAAATAATGAGAGTGAATCTCCCCAATGAGCGGGCACGACAATGAAATCTTGGCATAGGTGGGGGGTCATAGACAGAGGAGGACTTCACTTAAAGAACAGGCATCAGCACAGCGGGCAAATCCTACTGACTGTAAGTTATGTCCCTCGTGCTGTTTTTTGTGTTTATTTTGGCTGCATTTAGGCTTTAATGCTATGCCTACCTTAATGCTTTAAATATTGAATTGTATTACAGGAAAAAGAGATCATGATCCTAAAATTTATTTAAAAGGCCTTGTAAGCAGTGTAGGAAAATATGTTCCCTGTATATGTACCATGGAAGGGACACCACAGATATGAATAGTAAACACAGGAGTTAATTTACTAAAGCTGAAAAGTGCAAAATCACTTCTCCATAGAAACCAATCAGCTTCTAATCTCAGCTTGTTCAATTAAGACTTGGTAATGGGACCTGGAAGCTGATTGGTTTCTATGCAGATGTGAGCCTGATTTTGCCCTCTCCAGCTTTAGTAAATAAACCCCACTGTGTGGAAGAACAGTATGTGCAGTACTGCCAACTGCGTCAAAGTATTCCCCCTATGGCCATTCACTATCCTGCTCTGCAAAATGCAAATGCTACAGTGGATATAGTGCCAATATGGGGCAAATAGAAACAAGTTGGAGGACAGCTACAGTTTCAGGTCTGGCCAGTGATCTGTAATGCAATAGAAATAAGTTATACCTGTGCCATTTACTTCAGAAAGGCTTTTCTCTGCATAGAAGTCTATGAGATGCAAAAGCAGCTGAAGTAGTTTAAATGCAGATCACAAAATCTCTAACAACTGGTCTTCAAACCCAAATACATGTGGTGCCCCATTCCTATAATTAAAACATACATACAAGCATTCTGTTTTTTTTGGGAGGGGACTTTAACAGCACCATATCTGATTGAAACAGCAACTGTTAAAATATTATTTTATTCATTCTTGTCAAATTAAAATAATTAAAAAAGATAAAATAAAGTGACAACACCAACCCTTTAGAAGATCCCCCAGATGGGGGTCTTCTAAAGGGTTGGTGGCGCCATTGATGCCATATGGGAAACCAATTACTTATTTCCCTTCTTTATGGGTATTAATCCCCATGTAGATCTGCTCCAATTTCAGGAATTTATCATGTTCATCCTTATCAAGTTTCTTGTTGAGTCTTATGTGCCAAGTCCACTGCAGTCCACCGTTTGTTGGGAACCTTTTTTTTTTTTTTTTAACTCCTGCCAAAGCATCACTATGGTGTCCTTTTTGCTCCAGCGACACTGGAGGAGTCCTTTGAAAAAAAATGGCTTTTAACTGACAATTGGTTATAAGCTTCTGCTGTATTTCTTTTTTCCCCCTAAATAACATTCTAACTGAATTGAAACACGTCAGGGGTTGTACATTTTTGGAGATAATTCTCCTGATTACAGATAAAGCAGCTCTTTTTGCTATTGATATTGCTGTACATACCATGTTGTCACTTTATGTATGGTATTGTTTTTACTTATTTTAATAAGATAAGAATAAATAAAATAATATTTTAACAATTGCTGTTTAAATCATATATGGTGTTGTTAAAGTCCCCTCCTCGAAAAAAATATGCTGGTTTATATGTAAATGCAGGTCACAAGCAAGTCAACTGTACCAGCAATGAATTTTGGATGATGTTCCACAATTCAAATTGATCTCAAAGCACGCTGCCCAGCAAAGCCCCACTGCTGGATATACTGTACATGTATGTTTAGTATATTTAACTTATTCACATTGTTGGCTTTAAGCTAGTCAAATGCAAGTAGAATTTTGTTCTAAGTAATTCTATTTCAGTAGATTTGTTCAATTTTATAATAGTTAATCGGGTCAAATCAACAATTGTTTTCAACTGTATTGATGAAAAAGCAGCAGAATGGAAGCTTTTTTTGAAATGAACAACATTTTAAGAGTGAATTTGGTTTTTATTTGGGAGATTCGCAGAGATGAAACAATAGTCAAGGTAGATGGTCAGAACAGATACAATACAACCTCAAACACAGGAAACTTTCTGAGTAATGCAGATTTAACCTCCCTGGCGGTATTCCCGAGTGTAGCTCGGAGTTAACTTTCAGTACCAGAAGCGGTAATCTCGAGCTACACTCGGGATTACCCTGCAGTTTTGCTCACTCTTGCACTTACCTTGTCCTTCGCTCCCGCAATGTCCCCCCTGCAACGTCCCTGGCCATCTCCTCCGGCCGATGCTGGCATCCGTTTTCCGGGTTCCGTTCCCTGCGAGCGTCGGGACGTACGGGAAATTCAAACATTTTAAAAGTAACATTCACTCAATACACTAAAATCACATAGTAAAACACTACTGTATCAAACCATTTCACATACATTTTGTCCCGAGTGCTTTGTCCTGTGCCCTGCCTGCATTTTTACCATTCTTTCTGCCTGGAAACTGAGAAAAGTCCATGGTGTCAAAAAAGCGTTCCTTTAGATCAAAAGCTATTTTAGACCAGCTAGAGAACAGCGATAGTAAATTAGAACCACTTGCAGAATTGAGTGATAATGATTCGTGGGGAAATTCATCATCAGACACTGAAAACTATTTTGCGACTAAGCTCAGTGATGTGCGAACTTCAAACTTCAGTGTTTTTGGTTTTATTACATTATTGAATTACATTTATTATTATATTATTATTTTTTATGATGATTTATTATATTACAATTTATGATTTCGTGTTTCAAATTTTATCATACCCGGTATGTTTACTAGACTCTTGTTCAGACAGATTTCAGTGAGTTATTCCTAAGAATTACAGGCCTACAAAACAACATATTTCCATGCAAAAAAATGTACCGCTTTGAGCACAGAAATACTGACATAATCAGACCGCTAGGGAGGTTAATGAAGTCCAACAGAACTTGTTGATCAGACACTTGCTGAACATCCAGCAGTCTATTTAACCACTCTTATTTGGGGCAAATGTGCATTCTTATTCCCTTTGGAATGATGGGATCAGGGGCGGACTGACAACTCATGGGGCCCCCGGGCAATAGGGGATCATGGGGTCCCTGTGTCCTTGCCCAAATTCAAAAAAGCCTATGAAAAAGGTACCAGGGGCATCTCATGGGGCCCCCTACTGACCCGGGCCCTCGAGCAGTGCCCGAGTTTCCAAATGGTCAGTCCACCCCTGGATGGGATTCAAAGTCTCGGTCAGATTTTTATTGTTATTTGTGTCTTTATTGGGGAGATTTACCTTCACTTCGTATCAAAACAAGAAGACATGGGAAACCTCCCCAACAATGACAGAGTAAAAAATATAATTTTTTTATTTCAGTGAGCAAGGATTATATATTTTGTTTATGTCCCTTTATTCCTGTCTGGTGATAACCCCCATTTCTTGTTCAGGGACAGGAAGTGAGGGAAAATATCCCAGCAGAATCACAGATACAAAGAAAATCAACTATTTGTAACTTTTCCCATTCTATTAAAAACTATAAAAAAATGGCTGAAGTTGAAGTAAGAAAAGTATATTAATTGTAGCAATAAAGAGGACAAGATGGGAGTTGAAGTCGTGTCTTGGAAAACTGAAGTTATAAATACTCTGAAGGGCTTTTTGGAACACATATTAAAAAAGAAAAGCTACTCATTGGATTGAATTATAGTTTTTCATGTATAAGTGCAATGCATGTTAACACCTCACATTTCTTTTGTTTATTTTAGGGATGGACAGTGGAGAGAATGTTTAAGGAGGCTGAGACTTTTTTCAAGTCTGTTAACCTCTTTGCCCTAAATCCCAATTTCTGGGAGAACTCTATGCTGACGGAGCCTACTGATGGAAGAAAAGCTGTTTGCCACCCCACAGCCTGGGATCTGGGACTGAATGATTTTAGGTAAAGAATATAAAACTGTAATGAGTAATCAAAAAGGTTCTCACGCTGCACATACACATTGGGGGGCCTGATCCAGATCTGATGTATCACTGGGATAGTAAAAATCTGATGAACATTGGTAAGGCAGGTGGATGGTGACCTCCAATATTAAGCAATGGCCCATACATTTCTTTATTATCAGCAGGGATGGCAAAAAAGTGCTCCTCTCTGCACATAGTCTTCAACCTTTTTTTATAGTTCCAAATTAAATGCAGCATCACTACAGTGTAAAAAATCATATTTATTGTGACATCCTGTCACACAAAACCTTTTTTCCAGTCTAAACTAAAAAAAAATGTCAAAACCTATCCTGCACTGCTATACTGTACCTTAAATAATTTTAATGACGTCCTAGTAGCAGCTCACACTTTATGGCATACATATCATAACAAAAAATGTATAATTCCAAATTTAGAGCAGTGCTAATACAGAGAAAAAAATTATAAATTTTATATATGTATATATATATATATATATATATATTTTTATATATATATATTTTATATATATATATATATATATTTATATATATAGTGAAACCTTGTCACCCCAAAACTTTTTTTTTTCCATTCTGGAAATTATGTGCATACAAACGTATGCAGAAAAAAAATGCTTCTATTGTTTCCTTATAATGTATACACACCCAACAGCATTCACATACATTACAGTATATAAGTGTAGAAGTGTTTTTTTTTTTCTGCACAAGTTTTTCTGCACATAATTTCCAGAATAGAGAAAAAAATTGTTTTGTGGTGACAGGGGGTCACCACAAAACACATATATATGTGATTTTTTGCACTGTAGTAGCGCTGCACTAAATTTGTAATTATACATTTTTGTTATATTGTGAATGGCATAAAGTGTGAGCTGCTACTGGGAGATTATTAATAGTTTTTAAAGTACAGTATAGCAGTGAAGGAGAGGTTTTGAGATTTATTTTGAGTTTACACTGAAATCTTTGCGACGAAAAAAATCCTTAAAAACACTTCAAAACCAGCAATGCCTATATTCTGTTCAAAACCAGTTCTTTTGTATGTAAACTTTGACAAAGGCTGTGGCTGAAACGCGTCAGATTTTATGGATTCCATATTTTCTACGGTGTGCCAATAAAGCAAATATGATACGGATTTGAGTTTCTGGCTATTCTGTTATGTAATGTGACTTCAATTACCTTTTGTCTACTAGAAAAAGAAATGTATCACCACATTCAAGGCTGCAGCTAATTTTTATTTATCCCATAGCATCCCAGGCTTCAATTAAATAAATAAGAATATATTTGCTGTGGCCTGGAGTGCAGTGATTTATTTCTTTTCCTGACCACTTTGGTTTTAGTTATGCCTCAGTGGAGTTGTAGCTCTCAACTGCCAATCACATGCTTGCTCTGCTTTTGAGGCCTGCTGTATGAAAGTGTCAGCCAAAATCTGATTACTGTGAGTTATATTTAGAGTCAATTATATTGTAGTCCTACTTTTTTCTTGTTCCAATATGGTATTCTGATAAACTTCGATTTTTATGGTTTCTACACAGAGACTAATGAGTGATTTTTTTTGTGTGTCTATTAGGATAAAGATGTGTACCAAGGTGAATATGGAAGACTTCCTTACTGTTCATCACGAGCTTGGACATATCCAGTATGACATGGCCTATCACAAACTTCCTATGTTGGTGAGAGATGGAGCCAATGAAGGATTTCATGAAGCAGTGGGCGAGATCATGTCATTATCTGCGGCTACACCAAAACACTTGAAATCACTTCAACTATTGCCACCATCGTTTGTGGAAGATGATAAAGGTAGGCTACAAGCAAAGTTTGTGATTTCTCTACAAATCTTATTTAAAAAATCTAACCTCCACTCAGCAACTGATCTGTTGCTATGAACTCTACACTAGGGTTTATTTACTATAAGGCAAATAGACTGTGCACTTTGCAAAGGTCAGTTTCACTGTGCAAGTGCAGTTGCTTCAGAGCTTAGTAAATGAGGGGAAGCTCTGCAGATCTCCATTATGTAATCACGTGCAAGCAAAAATGCTGGGTTTTTTTTTTATTTTCCTTGCACATGATTGGATATTCTTTGCAAAGTGAAAGTTTACCTCATTTACTATGCTCTGGTGCAATTGCACTTTGCATAGTGCACAGTCTATTTGCCTTTAGTACATCAACGTGTGTTTCCTTTGCCCCTGTAGCTACTAATTGAGTCCTGATTTACAGCTGTGGAAAAGAAAGTGTAATTGTGGCTCTGTTTGAAAAAATGCTCAAGTAAAGTTGCTGAGACTTGTTGGACCTGTTATTCAAAAGAACCTGTTTGATATAATGCAACGTGAAGAATACATATCACTAGGCATTCTGTATACTCTACTCCACACAGAATCCTTTTTTGTGCCCCTCTCTGCTCGCATTCTTTTCAGTACAATGAGGTACAATACATTTCAGGTGGGGCCATCTTTGTGGTCATACAGGGCCTGTGGAGGTGTAAACAGGCTACAGGAGAGAACTGCTATTGTCAGGATTTCAGGGGGTGACATTACAAAAGATAGAGTGGTAGGAAGAAAAAGCTTTCCCTTTAGAAGTAGTTTGCACTATTGCAGAATGAAAGATACTTTACAAATGACTCTGGATGGACCTCGCCAGCATCCCTCATCAGCAGCTCAGCCAGGTGGGTAACAGAGATTCTGGGGCGCTTACCTCACCATGCTTTCTCTATCATGGCCACGGTCCCACTGGGCTAAAGGGTCATTTCTCCTTCCGAGTGGCAGACAACAAACAATCACCCATCTCTTTCTTCAAGAATCATGTTGGGCCACTAATACTTCCCATGAAAAAGAATCAGGAGATCTGGTTGTCTCCATCTCCAAGTTCTCTTCTCGGACGTAAATAAACTGTGCATCCTCATTTTCGCTTTAAGACTTTACTGCATCTAGGAGGAATGCTTAAAGAGAGAGCATGGCTGATGATACTATACTCTACTGGGAAGGGGGACACCACATAGTATGTGCACAATGGCTTCTTATCCACAGTCTCCAGCCAAAAAAAGGTCAGCCCCCCCCCCCACCAGGGCTTCTCCTCCTGGTACTTGCTCCACCTCCCACAGACACAGAAATTGGAAAAAAGTAATTAATCACATGAGAGATTGGGCCAAAAAGATATATATATATATATTTTTTTTTTCCTTCTGCTCAAAAAGATGTTTTTGCTCAAAAAAATTAACACTTTTTAATCAGAGTATAGCATCAAGTCAATTAAACTGATGGGATATTGATCTGGTCAGTTAAGTAAGAGAGGGGGTTGTTAATCAGTTTCAGGTGCTTTGGTGTTAATGAAATTAATAACAGGTGCACTAGATGGGCAATAATGAGACGACCCTCAAAACAGGATAGGTTATACAGGTGGAGGACACTGACATTTTTTTCCCTACTCATGTTTTCTGACTGTCTTTTACTAGTTTTGCATTTGGCTAGGGTCAGTGTCACTACTGGTAGCATGAGGCAATACCTAGACCCTACAGAGGTTGCACAGGCAGTCCAACTCCTCCAGGATGGCACATCAATACTTGCCATTGCCAGAAGGTTTGCTGTGTCTCCTAGCACAGTCTCAAGAGCATGGAGAAGATTTTAGGAGACAGGTAGTTACTCTAGGAGAGTTGGACAGGACCATAGAAGGTCCTTAACCCATCGGCGGGACCGGTATCTGCTCCTTTGTGCAAGAAGGAACAGGATGAGACAGAGCCCTACAAAATAACCTCCAGCAGGCCACTGGTGTGAATGTCTCTGATCAAACAATCAGAAACAATCAGAAACAGTAGGCCCGACGTCCTCTAGTGGGCCCTGTGCTCACTGCCTGGCAGCATAGAACTTGATTGGCATTTGCCTTTGAACACCAGTATTGGCAGGTCGGCCACTGGCACCCTGTGTTTTTCACAGATGAGAGCAGGTTCACCCTGAGCACATGTGACAGACATGAAAGGGTCTGGAGAAGTCGCGGAGAACGTTATGCTGCCTGTAACATTGTTCAGCATGACCGTTTTGGTGGCGGGTCAGTGATGGTCTGGGGAGGCATATCCATGGAGGGACGTACAGACCTCTACAGGATAGACAATGGCATCCTGACTGCTATTAGATATCGGGATGAAATCCTTTGACTCATTGTCAGAGCCTACGCTGGTGCAGTGGGTCCTGGGTTCCTCCCGGTGATGAGAGTGTGCAGGCAGTTCCTGAAGGATGAAGGAATTGATATCAATGAATGACCCCCATGCTCGCCTGACCTAAATCCAGTAGAACACCTCTGGGATATCATGTTACAGTCCATCCGACGACGCCAGGTTGCACCTCAGATTGTCCAGGAGCTCAGAGATGACCTAGTCCAGATCTAGGAGAAAATATCCCAGGACACAATCCATCATCTCATTAGGAGCATGCCCCGATGTATGCATACAAGCACGTGGGGCCATCAAACGAAGGAGCATCCTTACATTCCTAACACACTACCCAGTCCATATCAGTATAGATATCCAGCATGATTACATAAATTAATAGACCGGAACATGTGAAAACTATTCTAAAGCTCCACCTGTTGGCTGAAAACTAGAATACAAATAATGATATGCAATAGTTACATATTTACCTAACATTTGTACCTGAAAAAAAAATTTAATTGTACGTTTTAGTCTTGACCATAATAAATTAAAGAAAATCTATACAAAACCATTAAACATTTGTACTGTTTCTACTCCTGCTGAGTCAAACAAATATAATGAACAGACAAACAAATCAATAGCACCTGCCAAATACTTTCCATTGGCAGGGCCAAAATGGAGTATTGATTTAAATGGTTACATTCACATACATACACAGCATTTGCTTTGCATCTTCTCTTACTAAAAAACTGCGCTTACTGTGTTTGAAAAAAGCAATGCTGGAAGCTGTAAAATCATTTTTGTTCATTGGCTCCCCCAAGATTCTCCCCAAACCTCTCTTCCCCCTCCACCTCGATAAAGCATATTCCATCATAGGCATTATCCATACACATGAAACAATATTTTGTTTTCAAAACTATATTACCAGGTAGTGTTGAGATCCACTGGATAAATTCCATGTATTTTTTAACACATTTGCTGGGAACTAACCAATGTTCATTCTAAAAAGTACAAATAAAACAGTGACATTTAGTGGGACACATGGGTACTGCACTTTACTAAAACAAAGACCCAAGTTAGAAAGCTTTATCAACACAAAGCATGGTCTGTGGCAAAAGTGATGTATACGATTACAGTACTACAGTAAATGAGTCCTTATTTTTTCTAGTTAGTTGTAGAACCTGCTTTGCATTAATTTGTCAATTAATAAAAGGACACCTTGTGCCTCTGCTGAGCAATGCTGTTTTGCTGTCTAATTTAAGAGTAGTCTGTAGAGAATGTAAACATAGATATGTATAGGGAAAAGGTATTATAAATTATACATGAAACAAAAACATTCTCCAGAACCAAAATACTCATTAGATACAGTAAATGTTACAGTAATGCACAACTAGGGTTCCTCCAGAGGTTGCTAGGGGGTTCCTTGAGCAGTCATCAATTTTTGACTCTCAGATATGTAACCACTAACACCAGTTGTCTTTTCAGATATCTGTAAGGGAAGCATTGTTCTCACTTACCCCCAATATAAGGGGCATTGTTCCCAAGGACCACTATTATAAAGGGGCACTATTCCACTGACCATCATGAATGCAATAGGACAATTCTCCACTTATCACAAATGTGAAGGACCACTACAATTTTCACTGTCTGCTTCTTTGAGACCATTATTTTTATTATTAATGATATTATAATAATAATAATAATAATAATGTTGTATAGAACAGCTTTAGCTGTCAAATGCATGCTTTTATTTATTCCTGAATTCTCAGCTCACCATTCACACTAACGTTCTTAACCTCTGAAACTACTAAGCAACTTATTCACTCCCTGGTTATCTCTCGCCTTGATTATTGTAACTCCCTCCTCATTGGCCTACCTCATTGCAGGCTATCCCCTCTTCAGTCTATCATGAATGCTGCTGCCAGACTCATCCACCTTACTAACCGTTCTGTATCTGCCACCCCTTTCTGCCAATCCCTCCTTTGGCTTCCCATTGCCCAATGGATAAAATTCAAAACATTAACAATAACATATAAAGCCATTTATAACTCTACTCCAAATTATATCACCAAGCTTGTCTCCAAATATCACCCAAACCATACTCTCCGCTCCTCCCACGACCTCCTGCTCTCTAGCTCTCTTGTCTCCTCCTCCCATGCTCCAGGACTTCTCCAGAGCTTCCCCCATCTTCTGGAACTCTCTACCCCAATTTATCAGACTATCACTTACTCTGCTCACTTTTAGGTGATCTCTTAAAAAAGCCTATCCTGCCCTCAGCTAATAATGGAATATTCTATTCCTCCTACCAGTCTATCTCCCACAGTTATTACCTTTTGTACCACTAGCCCCTCCCTCTTAGATTGTAAGTTCCAAGGAGCAGGGCCCTCCTAACTCTCTTGTATTGAACTGTATTGTTGCTGTATTGTCTCCCGTTATATTGTAAAGCACTGAGCAAACTGTTGGCGCTATATAAATCCTGTAAAATAATAATAATAATGTACCCTGGGCTGTAGATACAGTAATTATTCATTAGCAAAGGGTTACCTTAGACCTGAAAGTTATTTCAAGAGTTCCTCCCTGTTAAAAAGCTTGCATGAATTACTCAAAATAAAGACTAATTGAACACAGGTGCCATTTTTTATATTTAACAGTACTCACAGTCATAACACAACCCTGTAATGTAGCTCCAATTATTAAAAACTGATAAAAAAAAGTTGAATTTAATGTAATCATAACAACAGAAAAAACAGCCATTATGCCAAGTAATGCAGATTAGTGAGGATGGTAAAAGAACACATAGGAATATACAATGATGTGACATTATGATGAGCCGTAGTTACTGAGAATTGCAACTTGCATTCACTTGTGTAATTTTAATAATACTAACTTAGAAATCATAGGTGCCTAAGATATATCTCCTGGGAGTTAAATAAAACACATTTGTCTGTGATATGATTTTTTAGAAACTGAAATAAACTTCTTGCTTAGACAAGCTCTCACCATTGTTGGCACATTACCTTTCACATACATGCTGGAAAAGTGGAGATGGAAAGTCTTCAGAGGAGAAATCCCAAGGGACCAGTGGATGAAGACTTGGTGGGAAATGAAGTAAGCATTTCATCATTTATATCAGTTATAAATGAAGACATACTGTATTTAAATAGTATATCATCGACACTGATATTTAGCAGTATGAGCAATATTAAGGTGTGTTTATTGGTTATGTTCTACAACACATTTGTATTCACATTAATAGGCCAGTGGCTAGGGTAGCAGAATTTGCGCAGGATACCATTAGAGTGTACCTTGTATGTTTAGTTTCATTTCTATTTTTTCTGTGTGTAGATAAAGTCAGAAGAGGAACTGGGGGTTATAAGGGGTTTAAAGAGCAATCAAAACCCTCTTTGCAGCTCATGCAATACACAGCTATCATGTGTTTATTTTTTAGGCACTTTATTGATGAGCTGTGTAATCAGATCATGGCTCTTTGAATATAACAGATTATTTATAAGGACAATGACCAGATAATATCCAGATGCGTCCTTTTGTAACAATGATGAACCCTGAGGCTAAGATCCCTAGCTAGGATCCTGGGATCCTACTTCACATTCTCCATGAGGGCCAATGTGCATTTAATTGCTTTAAACAGGATAGTACCATTGTGTTGTTTCCTTTGTTGTAGTATGTTTATATGATCATCTTACACTTTATTTTTCTATTAGGCGAGAAATTGTCGGTGTAGTGGAGCCAGTCGGTCATGATGAGACATACTGTGATCCTGCTGCTCTGTTCCACGTGGCTAATGATTATTCATTTATCAGGTATCGTGCCTTTCAAATACACTGAGGAAGATTTACTAAAGCTGGTTCACCCTGAATCTCGTGAACCTGTGCATGGTAGCCAATCAGCTTCTAACCTCAGCTTATTCAATTAAGCTTTAGCAATAAAATCTGTTTGCTGATTGGTTACCATACAGAAGTGCACAAGACTCTGAGTGAACCAGCTTTAGTAAATAAACCCCAGTGTGTTGTTCCAGTATACTAGCTGACATTTGGGCCCCCATATTATCCAATACGATATATTGTATATACTATATGTCCTTACAGTATATATTCATTAGATTGAGGACCTATGGTGGATGGGTTTTAGTGAGGTCATGTATGCTAGTATCTTTTTCATTTTTGTATAATAAATGGTCTCTTTTTGGGTAAATTGCAGCTGACAGTGTATTATTTATATTTTGAGATTTTATTGATACACAATATACATATCTTACGGTTTACATAGTATAAATAAAGTTCATGCTAGTCCATTAACAGTAGTTGTTTTTTGGTGTTGGTTCAAAGTTTTCCTATTGGATACTCAGGATTGATAAGGCCCCTTTCACATGGGGTTGATACTGTTTGATCAGCAGGGGATCAGCTCACAGATCCCATGCTGATCGGAGCAGAGCGGGCGGGTGACACATCCGTGTCCCCCAGCGTCTGCAGAGTGGACATGGACAGAGGCCACTCTGAGTGGCCCAGAGTAAACAGACTCTGTTGTCTAAAACCTGACTACCCTCCAATCCAATCCACCTAAACAGAAGAGGACGGATTCTCCGTTTTTTTAAGCGGACCGGATTGGACCCAGAGGTAGGCAGGAGTAACTGGACACAAGTCCGTTTACACCACCTCTCCATAGGAAAGCATGGACCTTCTGATTAGGTTTGCCTAAAAAACTGACAGACAGACCTGATTGGATCGCCCATCTGAAAGTAGCCTAATGTAGGGTACACACTATAATTTTTTTTTTTTTTGTTCAACACAGCAGGCTGAATGAAAAAAAACCAAACTTATGGATCACTATACTAACACAAGCAATGTTAGTGCGGCACGTTCTTCCTCACTGAGCTATTGTATTCTGCTCCCTGCCAGAACACACTGATCAGCGCTGGCAGCCATTTACTGTCACTTTTCAATGAGTGGGGGGGGGGGGGCACGGGGAGCCGTCCCTGCCAGGAGAACACAATGGGTTTTGCTAGAGGCTCAGTGTTATTTTGATGTCAAATTTTGATTTAGTTTTAGTCACAGTCTTTAGACTAAAATGCCATTTTAGTTTTAGTTGTATTTTAGTCAACTAAAATCTAATGGGTTTAGTTAAATTGCAATGCATTACTTAAGAATTTCCAAATGCATTATATACTCCTGGAGTAAAAATCTAATAACATGTTATTATTAGGTTTTTGTCCATGCACTACAGACACAGATTTAGCCGTTGAGATATATAATGTCTTTATAAGTAAAACCAAGTTTCATTACAAGCATATGACTTTTTTGACAGAAGTGCAACTTTCAAATAAAAAAACAAAAAACTTTACTGTCTGTAATGCCAATGCATATTACATGAACTTAACAGTTCAAGGAACCAAACACAACAAAAGATTTCTGTGGCAAGCACAGGCACACCATAACTAAACTAATACTCAAGGGTAAAGCTTATTTCTATAATAGGAATCAGTTTATTGTTCACAGTAAAAGCAGTTCACGGCAGAAGTTCACGTGAGTAAATGTCTGTCCCTCACATTTTTCTTTCATTTTCCTTCTTAGATGAAAATTGGAATTTATTTTTGTCAACTGACGAAAATTCGAATTGATTTTCATTTAGTTTTCGGACGCTGATGAAAACTATGACAAAATGTTTTTGGCAACGTAATTAACACTGTAGTGGCTATAGCTGCTGGCAATAACCGCATGATAAAAGTCCAACATGCTGGCAGTAGCAAAGTCATACAACAATTGAATTGGGTACAATCAGACGGCCCATAGATGGTTCGAATCTCAGCCAATCCCTGCTGAGCCAGCTGAAATTCATACCATTTATGGCCAGCATTACACAGCTGACAACTAGATTAGTCTCAAGCAAACCAACACAATACCATGTTCATGACACTTAAACAGAGCAAAAACTCACAATAGCAGAGAAACAGACAGATGATCAAGATAAGCAACAAACGCATTACAAATACAGTTCAAACAATTCTCAGGTATAATCCGATACATGAACAGTCAGATAGAAATCTAACAGACCTGAATTCAGGATAATGAGTAAACTAACCTCTTGACCAAGCACAGGCTGAATGTCCAGCAGGTACTTAAACACTTCTGATTCAGGCAGATGTGCACAGTAAAACATTGAGCTTCGGTGTTGAGTAGGACACTAGACAAATTGTTACAGTGGAACATTTCGGTATTTTGCAGTGTCCATCCCACTGGATTTAAAACTTTCTATTTTCACTCATCCACCTTACCAACCACTCCGTTTCCGCCACCCCCCTCTGCCAATCCCTCCACTGGCTTCCGATTGCCCAACGGATCAAATTCAAAATGCTAACACTGACGTACAAAGCTGTCCATAATACTGCCCCAAACTACATCACCGACCTAATATCCAAATACCACCCAAAACACACTCTCCGCTCCTCACTAGACCTCCTTCTCTCTAGTTCCCTGGTCTCCTCCTCCCATGCCCGCCTCCAGGACTTCTCCAGGGCATCACCCATCCTCTGGAACTCCCTACCCCAATCCATCAGACTATCACCTACTCTCCTCTCCTTTAGGCGCACCCTGAAAACCCATCTCTTCAGGGAAGCCTACCCCACTCTTCCTACCACTCCATCCCCCACAGCTTTTCCTCCTGTACCACTATCCCCTCCCTCCTAGATTGTAAGCTCCAAGGAGCAGGGCCCTCGAACCCCTCGTGTATCGCATTGTATTGTTATTGTACTGTCTCATGTATTGTCTCCCATTGTAATGTACAGCGCTGAGCAAACTGTTGGAGCTTTATAAATACTGTATAATAATAATAATAATTTAAAACAGCACTGAGTGCATAGTAAAAGCCAAACTTACAAAATATAAAGCACAACAGGCAAATGTGAATATTACTGAAGCTGGGTGCTTCTGTTCTTACTGTTTGCTATTTATATATACTTCATTGTTGACCTCCTAGATTTATAACAAGTACATTCCCTCTTATTCAGGTATTATACCAGAACCATTTACCAGTTCCAGTTCCAGGATGCTCTGTGTAAGGCTGCCAATCACAATGGTTCTCTTCATTCTTGTGACATAACAAACTCCACAGCAGCAGGGAATAAATTAAAGTGAGTGAAAAACTAGTGGATTATTTCTATTTTCACTTTGTTTTAAAAATTACGGGTTTATATTAAGCCTTGTTTCCTCACAGTTTGATTAACACCAACAAACTCCTGCAGGTCTATGTTAGAACTTGGGAATTCAAAGCCCTGGACCGAAGCCCTGGAGAGCATAACAGGGGAGCTGAAGATGAATGCTGCACCTCTACTGAGTTACTTCCAACCTTTATATGAATGGCTACAAATCAATAACACAGCTGAAGGGAGGACAACTGGGTGGAGTACAGAATGGGACCCATGTAAGAAGGATTATATTACTTTATTGTAAATGACAGTCTCTAACTTTCTTCAAAAATCTAGTAGTTTCTCAGCTCTTCTAATGACACAAGTAAAGTTTTCAGCCTTCTGACACATACTACTCTGTAAACTCTCAAAGGTTTTCATAGACCACAAATATTGCTTCATGCTATGTTATTATAGGGCAGTATACTCTGCATGTCTACATAGTTACATGGTTAGTCTGGCTGAAAAAAGACAAAAGTCCATCTAGTTCAACCATAAAAAAAAAAGTTATAATCCTATACCCACAGTTGATCCAGGAGAAGGCAAAAAAAAAAACAGCAAATCATGATCCAATTTGCTCCTGCAGGGGAAGATATCCATCCTGATCCCCCGAGAGGCAATCGGAAATTCCCTAGATCAACTTTATCTATTAATGTTAGTAACCAGTTATATTCTGTGTATCTAGGAAAGAATCCAGGACTTTTTAAATCAATCTACTGAGCTGGCCAGAGCCAAGTCTTGAGGGAGTCTATTCCACATTTTCACAGCTCTCACTGTGAAGAAACTTTTCCGTATTTGGAGATTAAATTTATTTTCCTCCAGATGTAAAGAGTGCCCCCTTGTCCTCTGTGATGACCTCAGGATCAATAACTCTACACCGAGTTCACTATATGAACCACTGATGTATTTATACATGTTGATCATATCCTGCCTTAATCTCCTCTTTCAAGAGAGAAAAAAAAATTAAATTCCTTTAATCTTTCCTCATAGCTGAGCTCCTCCATGCCTCTTATCAGTTTGGTTGCCCTTCTTTGTACTTTCTCCAGTTCCCCAATGTTCTTTTTGTGAATTGCTGCTCATAACTGAACTGCATATTCCAGAAGAGGTATTACTACTGATTTGTACCGAGGTAATATGATATCTCTCTCTATGGAGTCTATACCTCTTTTAATACAAGAGAGGATTTTGCTCGCTTCAGAAAACCGCAGCTTGGCATTGCATGCCATTATTAAGCTTGTGATCTACCAGAACTCCCAGATCCTTCTCCACCATTGATTCCCCCAGTTGTACCCCCCCTAGTATGCATGATGCATGCATATTCTTAGCCCCTCAATGCATAACTTTAACTGGCTGCACAGTTGCTCCTAACCTCCTAAAGTGGTTCTAAAGGCTCCAGGCTGTTTACCTTTATGTATTCTATGCACAAAGGTAAAGGTAAAAAAAATAATTGGCAGAGACAGCAATGGGAGCCTATTGGGGGGAGCTGTCAGGTAGGCTGTAGGGGCCCTGTGATTTCTAACAGCAGCCTAGATCAATAACACCAGAGAGTCTGCGAACACATGCTGCAGGTATCTTTGGTTCCTGCACAGAACACACAAATCCCTGTAATGCTGCAGCCCTATCAAAATTCAGATACAGAGCCGGATCAGAGCAGAGGAAGGCCCCTCTCTGTGCGCAGAGCACTGCTCAGTATCTGAGTGTGAATAGTCTACATAAGAGATGGAAGTATTGAAGAAAGGGCATGTCTGATAGGGAGAGATCTGTGCTTTTTGGTGTGCTGGAGCAAGACTTGTGCATTACATCGGATGGCGGGGGGATTGTGCTGGAGGGAGACTTGGGCATTTTTACGGGGAAGGGGGGATTGTGCTGGGGGGATTGTGTTGACGTGAGATAAGTACTTGTTTGACAGGGAGAAGAAAAGAGGGATTTGTGCTTGTGAGGGGGCCCTGACACTCAATGGAGGTTAAGCCTGGACTTATACTGGGGTTATTTTTGGCCTGGAATTTTGTTGGCGGCTATTGCTGGCCCTGACACATGCTACAGGTCATCATTGCTGGCAATGACACCAACACAATCTCGTCAATGTCTCTTCAGGCCGTATTTTGTCTACAAAGCAAAAAGGGGAAAGGTAGCATACTATAAGCTCTTCACCGTGAAGCAACTTCCATTTTATTGATCATGCCCACAAGCAAACTTCCCACAAAGAAAATGATTAGACACCTGGTGGCAGGGGACATAAGCATCTGCCACTCTCAGAGGTATTGAATGGGAAAAAGTCTTCTAGACGCTGCATTGCTGAAAAGGAGAGCAGATAGACAGGAGGATGTGAGTGTACAACCTCTTGTGGCACAGGATGTGAGGAAAGACCTCCCAAGTAGAGACGTACATGATGGAAAAATGTTTTTGTTTTGGATTCGTTTGTTAAGTTAATTATTTCATTTCATCATATTCATTATGCTAGAATGATTTGTTTTCGGAATTTGTTTTGTTTATTCGGATTCATTAGGAATATTCGTTCTTTTTGAATTGATTCAAAATTCGAATTAAAAATTCGAATTCAAAAGATGCCTATATTTTTTCAGTGTTAATCTATTCTAATCAATTTTTTCTATTCTATTCTTTTATTTTCTATTCTTTTCTGTTTCTTTTGTATTCTACTCTTTTAGTTTCCATTCTATTCTATTTTGTTTTATTCTGTTCTATTCTCGTCATTTATACTATATTCTATTCCTTTCTATTCTATTCTTTTATATTCTTTTCTATTATTTTATTTTATTTCATAGCGCAGTCAATTTACGCAGTTCTTTTACATATATATTATACATTCACATCAGTCCCTAACCCTCAAGGAGCGTACAATCTATAGTCCCTAACTCACATTCATACATACACATACTAGGGCTAATTTTAGACAGGAGACAATTAACCTACCAGCATGTCTTTGGAGTGTAGGAGGAAACCAGAGTACTCGGAGGAAACCGGAGTAACCGGAAGAAACCCATGCAGGCACAGGGAGAACATGCAAACTCCAGGCAGGTGGTGCCGTGGTTGAGATTTGAACCAAGGACCCTAGTACTGCCAGGCGGAAGTGCTAACCACTTAGCCACAGTGCTGCTCATATATGCAATTCTATTTTGTTTTATACTTTTTTTCTATTCAATTCTATTTTGTTTTATTCTATTCTTTTCTATTCTATTCTGTAAATCAGTAGGAAACATCTTATTTAAAATTTTATAGCTTACTGTATATATTTAAATATGTTTCCTTTTTGAATTCAAATTCATTTTCAAATGAAAATTCATTCTCAAATTTGGATAATTTGTTTTGTTATAATTTTTGGAGATTTGTTGAAATTCGTTACTATTGTGATTCAGAAATTTAGTTTGAATTTCGATTTGTAACAAAACAAATTGCATATGTCTACTCCCCAGTGGGGTTCACAGACTGAAATAAAAACCTGAAAGAATTCAAATTTCTTTCCCACTCTATGTAAAACAAAAGAAAAATAAGTTAGTGTTTGATTTTCATTTTTATTGTACATATATTACTGGATAGCTGGCAACCTAGGTCTATAAAAGAGCGTAGTCAATAATTTTTGGTCATAGGAAAGGCTTGGAGAAGTAAGTACATATTTTACCCATGCTGGCCATATCAGCATATTAGTATCAGTAAGTTAAAGGCATTCAGTGAAAAAATGTATCCAGCCAACTGGAAGTGCAGTCCATAAAAGTTGGTGCATTCCTATATCAGGGCTTTTTTTCAGCGGGAACGTATGTAATGGCAAGGAGTAGTGGGGTGTACTTCAGGGTCCATTGATGCTGGTTGCTAGGGGATCTATTGTCACTGGAGGGGATCTATTTTTGCGGGGGGGGGCCGTGGGTGTCTATTGATGCTGTTGGCTGTGGTGGGTCTTATGTTGCTGTGAGTTCAATTGCTCCAAGGAGGGTGCTACTGTTGAGGCAGGGGTCTATCCTTGCCAGCTGCTGAAGGGTCTATTGTTGTTGGTTGCTGGCTGTAGGGAGATCTGTTGTTGTTGCCAGGGGTCTATCTTTTGGGGGGACAAGTTTGTTGCAGGTGGCCCATTGTTGCTCGGAAGTATTTTGTTGCAGGTGGTCCATTGTTGCTTCGGCGGGGGCAGTTGTTGCTTGCTTCAGGGGATCTATTTTACTGTTTTTCTTGTTATCATTTACAAAAATCATACGAATTGACACTTGGTTCTGTATTCTCTAAAAGGGTGGTTCTGGTAGGTAGGTAAGGAGTGGAACCAAGGGATGGTGCAGGACAGAGACAAGGGGTGAATTGGAAAGGGAGAGTTCCTGCACTTATTCTCTGTTAAAAAAAGTCCTACCTATATCCATCATGATCCTGAAATATGGTGGATGTTTGCTTCTATGTGTAGTCCACTTTGGGGAATGGAAAGCCTTTCTTGTGTTTACCATACATACAATGTTTGCGAAGGTAGCATAAATTCAAAACTACTAAATATATTTTTTTCTGTTCTTTCCAGTTACAGCAGATTCATTCAAAGTGAGGATTAGTCTGAAAGCTACACTAGGAGAAGATGCGGTAAGGGTAGAGCTCATCTTGTTTTATCAGTTTAAAAATATCTAGAGAACTTACTTTCTCTTTTTTCTTGCTTCTCTTTACATATAAAGTATATACATTTATTATAAAGGTGTAAGGTGAACCTGCACTAGGCAAAGTAGCAGTTTAACTTTATAGGAGACACCAAAAGCTTTTTGCAATCTGCCATTAGAAAATTCCTGTGTTCGTTTAAAGTTTATGAAAGTGGAAACGTACACAGAGCACTTCAGCCATCAGAGCTAGAGCTTGGTGATTGGCTGGTCAGCCATCCAGCTCTGCATTATGCAGTGGTAAGCCAAGTGTAATTTGTTCCCCCATACTTGGAAGTACCAGAAATGTTGGGGAACGCAAGAAAAAACGTGGGTAGATGCCCCCCATAAAGTGAACTTGTTATTTTTATTTGATATACTTACAACCACGCTAACAACCTTCGAAAACATGAAACATAAACAAAAAAAAATATTCAAATAAATAAAATAAAGTAAAAAAAACAAAGTCAAAAGAAGTGAAAAACCACAATGCCCCCATAAAATATGGAATTTTATGACTGCGCTCTCTTGTGTTCCTATATCATGTCCATACAGTGCAAACAAATACACTAAAAGTACTCAGTGCCAAAATAGTCCGAAATAAGTGAAAATATTCAATGACACCACAGTTGTGCTCCTCTGCACCCCCTGTGTACATACCACACTCAACAGATGTTATTGATCCCTTTAATGTAAAAAAAAAGTCATATTGCTCTTTTGTTCAAAGAATAGCATCTCTCTATACATGGTAAATGAACTCCAATCACTCTCTGGTGCATCCTATGGATCATCTGTACATATAAATAATATATTGCCTCTGCACCTTAAAAGTGCCTCTGTGCCTTTAAGATATTTTATACATTAATTACCATTAATTAACATTGTTACAAGTATAAAAACATGGGGTAGCCTCTCAGAGTGTAGCAAGGTTATTTTATAATAAATAGAAGTAAAATTGCACTTACATCAAAATATAAAATACAAGCCTGGTATTTAGAAACTAGGTACACTGATCTGCACACCACATGCGTTCCACACAAGCAGAAGTGCCGTGTACCGGAAGCCCTGCCCTATGCATTTCGACAATTATGTCTGACTTTCAGTTTTAAGCATTCTACACAGCTTCTTCTGTTTCAGTTAATGACTGTGTTTCAACCCAGGGGCGGACTGACCATTTGGAAACTCAGGCACTGCCCGAGGGCCCAGGGTAAGTAGGGGGCCCCATGAGATGCCCCTGGTACCTTTTTCATAGGCTTTTTTTAGTTTGGGCAAGGACACAGGGGCCCCATAATCCCCTATTGCCCGGGGGCCCCATGAGTTGTCAGTCTGCCCCTGTTTCAACCTACATATGAAATTGATGATCATTAGCACCTGCTTGGTACAATTGGTTAATCATACACCTGACTAATGCTACAAAATCCCTGACTTTGTGCAAGTGTAAGAATTGATGCTCGTTTGAAGCCAAAGGGTACTCACACCAAATATTGATTTGCTTTAGATATTTCCTCTGTTCTCTCACTTTGCATTTTGTACATTGATAAAAATAAACCATCAAAATATAATTATTTGAAAGCATGCTTACTTTACAGTATCTGTTCACACCTGCCTAAAACTTATGCAAAAAAAAAAAAAAATATATATATATATATATATATATTTCTAACATCAAATATTTTCTATATTAACAGTATACGTGGGACAACAGTGAATTGAATTTGTTCAAATCTACAATTGCATATGCCATGTCTAAATATTTTGGGTCGGTGAAGAACCAAGAGATTGTATTTTCGTAAGTACTTTTTATGACAGAGCACAGCATGGAAAAACAGGGCCAATGAGACAAATTACAAGGTAATTTGTAACTCAGGAAGCTGGGACAGTGTCTTCCACCAATTGTTGAGGCTTGGAGTACTGGGGGAGATTTGCTAAAACTGGAGCCCAGAGAATCTGGTGCAGCTGTTCATAGTAACCAATCAGCTTCTAAATTCAGCTTGTTCAATGTAGCTTTGACAATAACACCTAGTAGCTGATTGGTTATTAGGCACAGTTGTGCCAGATTCTCTGTGCTCCAGTTTTAGCAAATCCATCCCACAGTGAGTTGGGACTGCACTTATCCAAACAAGCTCATTGAGGTCAGACTTTTGACTATTCTACTGTGGAAATGATACGTTCAATTTGACATCATGTAATACAGCAAGTTTGTTTAATAGAGAGAAATCTAGGAAGAGAATTAAGTTGACACTGCTTCCAGACAGTAAACTTTGGACTTGTGATATTTGTATACATGCAGGATTAAGTGGGTGAGGCTTACTATTTTCTCCAGGATGGAGAAAAGGGTATTCAGGAGCGCTGTCTTTTTTGTGTCTATTATTACACTGGAAGGCCAGTAGAAAAGTAAATACTGTACATACAACTTTTTTTATATACTTTTTTGTTTGTTTTTTTTAATAAACTTTATTGCCCATATTTTTATGTATTCTTTATAGATAACTAGCAATCACATTATAGTGGTTCTTCAGTAGATGTCTTACAAATGTGTGCATATGTACTGTATATACACACATACACACAAACATATATACACTGCTCTCAAAAAATTACAGGAACACTTTGAAAACACATCAGATCTAAATGGGGAAAAATCTCATGCTAGATATCTATACTGATATGGACAGGCTAATGTGTTAAAAACATAAGGATGCCCCATTGTTTGATGGAAATTAAAATTATGAACCTACAGAGGACTGAATTAAAGACACCAGAAAATCTGGGTTGGGCAGTGATCACAGGGCCCACTAGAGGACGTTGGGCCCTCAGGCCACTCTCGAGAAATCTGTTTCTGATTGTTTGGTCAGAGACATTCATACCAGTGGCCTGCTGGAGGTAATTTTGTAGGACTCTGGCAGTGCTCATCCTGTTCCTCCTTGCACAAAGGAGCAGATACCGGTCCTGCTGATGGATTAGGGAACTTCTATGGCCCTGTCCAGCTCTCCTAGAGTAACTGCCTGTCTCCTGGAATCTCCTTCATGCTCTTGAGACTGTGCTGGGAGACACAGGACAACGTCTGGCAATGGCACGTATTGATGTGCCATCCTGGAGGAGCTGGACTGCCTGTGCAACCTCTGTAGGGTCCAGGTATCGCCTCATGCTACCAGTAGTGACACTGACCCTAGCCAAATGCAAAACTAGTGAAAAACAGTCAGAAACGATGAATAGAGAAAAAAATGTCAGTGGCCTCCACCTGTATAACCTATCCTGTTTTGGAGGTCATCTCATTGATTTCCATCTAGTGCACCTGTTGTTAATGTTATTAACACCAAAGCAGCTGAAACGGATTAGCAATGGGGGTGCGTAATCATTGGAGCTTGTTATAAGCCTCCCAGTGTTAATGAGGAAGTAGAAACTCTGCTCCTTGCACAGATCGTGGGGGATTTTAACTACCCAGAAATTGACTGGAGTAATGGTACTGCAGGAACAATTAAAGGGCAAAAATTTTTAAACCTACTACAGGACAGTTTTATGGTACAATTCATAGAGGCCCCTACTAGGAATGATTCTCTGCTGGACCTGATAATCTCAAACCATGCAGAGCTTATTACGAATGTCCATATAAAAGAACATCTGGGTAGCAGTGACCATAACATGATTTAATTTACTGTTAGCTGTAAACAGCAAGTACATACGGGAAAAATAAAACCGCTCAATTTCAAGAGAGGTAATTTTCCAAGGCTGAGAGCTGCTCTCCAAGACTTAGACTGGGAGGGAATATTGGCATTGATGAACACAACACAGAAATGGGTGTTCTTCAAAAAGACTGTATATGAACACACTGCAAAATATATTCCCATGGGCAACAAGTTTAAAAGGCTAAAAATCAAACCTATGTGGCTTACGGCCAAAGTTAAAAAGGCTATAAATAATAAGAAAAGAGCTTTTATTCAATATAAAATTGAAGGAACGCAATCATCGTTTAAACATTACAAAGAATATAACAGAATATGCAAAAAGGAAATAAAGGCAACAAAAATTGAAAACAAATGACAGATTGCAAAAGATAGCAGGACCAACCCCAAAACATTCTTCAATTATATTAATAGTAAAAAGGTTTTGTCCGAGCATGTAGGCCCTTTACAAAATAATCTAGAGTGGGTGATTGGGGACAAAGTGAAGGCAAGTGTATTTAATACCTTCTTAAGCTCTGTATATACAAAGGATTATGGGGGAGCTCTTGTCCATAATGGGCATGGTATTGACACAGCTCCAGATGATCCACAATGGCTCACAATTGATATGATCAAAAAATATTTAGACAGTATAAAGGTGAATAAAGCACCTGGACCAGATGGCAGGCACCCACGGGTCCTTAAAGAATTGAGCTCTGTCATTTCAAAGCCATAGTTTCTAATTTTTAGGGACTCTTTAATGACTGGCATAGTACCACTGGATTGGCGTAAGGCCAATGTGGTGCCAATATTTAAAGATGGGTCAAAATCTTTGCCAAGTAATTATAGACCTGTTAGTTTAACTTCTATAGTTGGGAAGATACTGGAGAGTTTAATAAAAGACCACATAGATGAGTTCTTGCTGGAAAAAAATATTTTAAGCAACAGACAGCATGGATTCATGAAAGACAGAAGTTGTCAAACAAATCTGATTTCTTTATAAAACCCCACATCTCTCCTCTACAATGGAAAGCACAAGATAAAAAAAAAAAACCCCATTGAACTAGTGCTTTTTGGTCGGAGCTTACATCATGACATCGCTCCGGTCCTCCTAGACCATAGAGATTAGCTGAGGCCATCTTTCCTCAGATAATGTCTGTGGTCAGCTTTCACATTTGCTGGATCGGTTCACTAATCAGGCAGGTAAGCCCAAGAACCACTGAAAAGCTGCTGGGGGGGGGGGGGGGGGTGGAGACCCCTACCACAGCTTCTAAAAGTGATCCTGTGGCTAATCAGTTGCTCAGATCACTTTTAGCAGTTAGAGAATCACTGGCTGAAAGAAATACCAGGGTTATGGCATAATGCTGCAGTCTTAACTCCGGTATTCCACTTCCAACCGAGGACATCTTTTGTCTATGGCCCGGTTCTGAAGTGTGATACAATCATATCAAAATTAAATACTAAGACCAGAAATGTTTACACCTTTTTGCATTCAACAATTCTATTTATCAGCAACATACTGACAAAAAAACATAAATGGGATCATAATAGGAATTGGTGCTATTCTGACCACATGCACTACCATGTCTGCTATTTCATCATAGACAGCAGGTTAGCACAAAGAGCAAATGTGAAATTCTGTGTGAAACTGGGCAGATCTGCCACAGAGACATTTGACATGATTAGGCAAGTTTACAGCAATGTTGCAATGAGTTGTTCGAGGTGTCTTGAGTGGCACGCATGCGTTAAGAGCGGAAGAACATCACTGGAAGATGACAAGAGATCAGGAAGACCTTCAACGAGTTCAACCCCTGAAAATGTTGAAATGTCGAAACCATTCGGCAACATTGTGCATGATGACTGTCAGAGAACAATCCACGACCTTGCTGCCTTTGTCGGTGTGTCATGCAGAACAGTCCAGGCAATCCTCACATGTGATTTGAACATGTGCCATGTTGCTGCCAATTTTGTCCCCAGGCTGCAACAATCTCATTTCCGCACCCACCCTACTCACCAAATTTGGCTCCTGCAGACTTTGCCCTCTTCCCAAAGATGAAGATCCAGCTCATAGGTTGCTGTTTTGACATCATTGCGGAGATCCAGTGTGAATAGCAGAAGGTGCTGTACACGCTTTGAAAAGAAGACTTCAAGAACACATTCCAGAAGTGTCAGGAAGGCTGGGAGTGTTGTATTGCTGTGCAAAGGGACTATTTTGAAGGTGATAGTGTGTAAACATAGATGAGGTACTTTCTTGTAAACAGAGCTAGCCTCGAATCTTTTTGATACCAAATTGTATGTTTTTTAAATTTTGTTTTGGAATGGATCACTTTTCTTTGCATCCTGTACACACTTTTCATGTATACATGGCCAATCCCTGTGGAAGTGGAGAATCACTTTAGTAGGAGCTGCTAGTACAGTGATTCTTGCTTTTTTCTGTGTCCCATACCGATCGGCTGCCCTGCTACATGGTAACCATGGCAAGAGCACCCTGCATTTTTGTCATGAGCTGGAAAGGCAGGTGATGATGTCACAATTGCCACATCGTTCAGTCAGAACACTTCACATTAATTTGGAAAGATTCAAAGCATTCCCTGTAGCAGTGGTGGATACTACAGTGATTCTCCCCATCCACAAGGATCAAACCAGGTATGCAATATGCATACAGTATTTACATTGGTCCAAAATGAACCAAAATAATTATGTGTAGCCAGGGCATTTACTAGACTATTTTGTGCCTTAGTTACAAGACTAGGTACTTGCAACCCCTCCCCCCCCCAAAAAAAACTTCAAAACTCCACGTGGAGCTAATCCTTGACAATGGTAGCTCCGTGTGGAGACTGACTGACTAGGGAGCTGGGAGGAAGTGATGCTTTGGCATGGCTTGTAGGGCACCTCATTGGCTGGATACCTCTTCTTCAAGGCTTGGCTGAAATTTGCAGATGACAGCTTCTTCTCCAGCTAACATCATACAGTCCTGTCTGGGGACAGTGAGACCAGGACCCAGAAGTGACGTTTTATACGTTGCTTCCGGGTCATTAACAGAAAGGGGAGATCAGTGAACAGGTGTTTGCTGATCTCCCTTTTACGGTTAGCACCCACCATGCAGGTTCCAGGTCCACTGATGGGAGCAA